CGTTCTGGTTGACAATAAATGTTGCGGTCACGTTCACTGTCTGGTTCGTTGAACAATGGGTCGTGGAGTCGAAGTAATATATTGTGTAGCACCATGCACGCCATGGCATTGCGGGAGGTCTGCGTGATTGATTTCTCACTCATCGGAATCTTGAGCATGCGGAACCGTTCTTTAAGCCGGCCAAATGCGCATTCAACAACCATTCGCGTACTTGAATGTATGTAATTGAAGTGGCGTTGGCACGATGACAATGTCTTGTTTGGCTCCTCCTGTGGAAGGTACGGCACGATGAGCCATGGAAACAATGCATAGCCAGAGTCCCCAATGATGTATGAGCCACTTGGAAATTTAGTTCGGAATGTACATCCCAACGTTGACATTTTCCAGATCCGGCGGTCCGAAAATGACCCAGGTCTTATGTCAACACTAGTGAATGCGCCAGTATGATCCACCATGGCTTGGACGTTGAGTGATGGGTCCCCATGTCTGTTGTAGAATCCATCGTAGTCCTTTGGACGTTGGATTTCAATTAGTGTTCCGTCGATAGCCCCCACAATACCCGACATGTTTTGTTTTGAACGGAACCCAAGTTCAACTTGTTGCCACTCCAGATCCGATGTTGGAAGGTGTATCCATGACGACGCCATTCCAGCAAGTACCTCAGCAAAAAGTGCACAATATTCTGGCACCACGATTTGGACATCCCAAACACAGCCGCAACTTCTCTGTATCCACCTTGGGACCCCAGAAAGTAGAGCACAACAACCACCTTTTTTTCGTACGAGTGGGATTTGGTGTAATTGTCGAGACTGTATTGCGCCATTTCCACCCGCAGTAACTCACATAACTCGACAAAGGACACTTGATTACAACGTAAATTGTCCATAAACCATCGGTCGTACACTGGATCGACTAAGAATGCTTGGAAGTCAATCTCTGTCACGGTTAGCAAATTGTACTTCTCCGTGCGGGTCACAGATGACATCGCAATGCACACAGCTGCCGCAGCAATGCTTCCAGCCAAAGCAGCATAAACGTTAAGACGGCCACATGTACCCCCATCAGAAAGGCCGCCACACATAACAGTGCCACAATGTAAACAGCCACACACACCACCCGGAGGACAGCCACACACACCACCCGGAGGACAGCCACACACACCACCCGCAGGACAGCCACACACACCACCCGGAGGACAGGTTCGGGCTCCACCGTTGTCACAATGTGGGCAGCCACACACAGCACACTGAATACAGCCACACACACCATCAGCGAAACAGCCACACGCACCGTTGCCACCGCCAACTGGACAGCCACACGCACCACCACTCACCATGACAAAACCACGAGTATACCAGAACTCTTCCCCGGACACGAAATGGTCATCCGCACAATGACACCGGATAAAAAATCCGGTTATGATTTCGTCCTGGTTGAATTTTTTGTCTCGGTATTTTCCCCGAACAGGCTCTTACTACGTCAATAAGAAAAAAACACTTTTTCCACAATACTGTGAAGAAATAGATCTATTCGCTCACAACAAAATACAACGATTCAATTGGTCAGTAATTCCTAACCTACAAAACAACGAAACAGGGCAAGAAACATTCGACATCAGAAGACCAGCGCGTCTCAAGACTGAGTTCTTCAGGTGGGGCAACGCAAAGCGGTTCTCGCCGCCGTGCTCGAGAACCAGCCGCATCACTGCCTGAAAGGTTCTCCAGCTTCTCGTAGTTCAGCTCGTCGAATGCCACCATAGTGTTACGGGTCATGTCATCCTCCGTCCGACTCATCTTCTTGTACTGTAGGGACTAGATAGAGGCAATGAAGCCAAGGTCCAGAACATTAGGTCAGGGCTGTTGTGCGGCTGTCGACGCATTCCTGCTGGTCAGTTGCGAGAGTTGCGGGTGGCCGACACAAGGCGCACAAACGGCAACATGCCAATCTTGCCGTCGAAGAAAACACCGCGGGTCTCATCGTAGCGAGGGCGAGCAACGGGACCCAAGAACATCACCTTGTGGATGAATCTCTTGCTCTTCCCAGATCGCCGGGGCTGCATCTCACCCGGGACAAGATAGATCTTTCGACGATCCTTGTCTGCGTCGAACCATTTTTCGTCCAGGTGCAGCACATCCCATAGTTCGAGGTCTTCGAGTAAACCGGCTAGCGAGTGGCAAAATGCGGTGCGTTCGTCCGAGTTAGCATCCATCAAGGCTTGATGCGTGTTGAGCATCGTTGCAACGTTTCCTTCTTAAGGTGTCGACTCAGAGTCCCCAGGGTCAAGCCCGTAGCTTCCGCCATGTCGCGGAAGGTGGAGCATTGGCCGGCGTGTACGGCTTGAACGAGCCGTTGGACGCGGTCGGTGGAATAGATTTGCGTGGGCCCAAGCTAGCCAGCTTTGTTGGACACTGTGGTGCCACGGGAGAAAAACGTGCGCCAAAGGTGTCCGACGGTGCGGGGGTTCATGTTCAGTTTCTCTGCTGCTTGTTTGTAAGCACCACGCGGAAGTTTCCCCTTCTTCATGAAGGCTTGGAGGTGTTGGATGATCGTAACTTTGTCACTACTCGAGAGCTCTCGGCCGATGCGTTCGACTTGATTCTACGTGGCGGCAAATTCAAAATTAAGCTGTTTTAAGTATGTGATGTAATTTTAATCGGATGGTTGATATTTGAAGTCTATTCTATTAAGCGCGAAATTTCAGTTCAGGCACTTGGCAGCCAATAGACGGCACCTGTATTTTTTATGGTCTTTAAAAAATGATACCCTATATCGAAATTGGATTTGAAATGAATTTTTGGGGTCGTTGCAAGTCGTTTAATGTGGAACAGAGGAAGTAAACAAAATACTACCGGTACTAAGGAGATTTCGCAATCGTCGGTTATTTGTTCGCGTTCAGCTCACGCAACGACAACGGCAGCGGCAACGACAGATATTTTATGATTTCGCAACAGCATATTTCAATCAAAATATACGAATAAAATATCCGGATAAAGGATCAGCATGGGCACACGTCGAAATGAACGAACAGCACTGGTGGTGTCAGGCTACTGTACTTAAAACAAAGTCACGTCAACGCTAGCGTCGACTGTCGTTACTGCCGTGGAAGCTGTTACAACGTCCTGTTATCCCGGACGTTCGATTTCACCTGGACACGTTGCGCAACAGCTCTCTGTCCGTCGAACGAGCCCTGTGATGAACCGCCTGTAGGTGCACCTAGCCCCTGCACCAGTTCCTATAACACGCTAACGTGAACCACTAGACAATGCTCTTTAGTCCATATTGATTTTGTAATGCACGATACAACATGCTAGTACATAGTAGTCGACAGAGCGCGAACAAAACACACAATAGCGTGGCATAGCTGTCCGTAGTACATAGAAACTCCCTCAGCAAGTCTAACCCAACTTCGTCTACCGCGAGCACTCATTCGACTCGAACCACCTAGCTTCTCATTTGTTGTAAAGAGGGAACGCTGACGTCGCCGGTATCCGATCATGCGGTGCTGGTCCGCTTACCAGGCGTTGTGGCCACGCCAAGCCGAGACCGTTGTCATGCTGTAGAGGCCTTGTGTATTCTGCTGCGCCGCCTCACATACCCGACCATTTCTTCGTCTTGGTGTCGTGCTCGACACTCATTTTTGTGATTGTCGAGCTCGTCACCAAGCGCTTTGAAAGTTTATACATGTTGATGCATTGCTAGAGTTTTTTGAACGACAGACTATCGTTCAGCCAGCCATTTTGCGGTCATATGCATCAATTGTAGACAGGTTTTGTCGTTCCGGAATTTGATCATAGAGGTTTTTTCGCCTGAGCGGAAAGAGAACGATATCGTTCATTGCGAAATCTCCTTACTGTAACCTTGTTCTACGTCTTATACGCGACCTTGCACCAGTCTTATTTATGATGGAAACTGCTTTTAAGTGGAGCTAGGATGAAATTGAAGACTGCTCTGTCGAGCCTTGAAGCAAATCTTCACAGCAGTCTCGTGCATCGTTTGTAAGCGGTGTTGCAAGGTAGCGTGCACGGCGGATACGTTTGTCTGATACAGTGTAATTGACCCACTTCTCAGTATCAATAGAAGGGACAGAAGACTGTACATACCTTGCAGGTCATGGGCTGCCAATCGCGACCAGGAAGGGTCCAGTGATATGCCTCGTGACTGGTTTGTGGCTGGTGCACTTCGATACTACGTGCAGACTTGGAGGACGATGCTATGTGACTGGTGTGAACCATCGCCGCAGGATATAGTTTCAATCTAATTCGCCGTTACTACATACATACAGTATACCATGTAGTGTACCATGTACCATGTAGTGCTCGGAAAAGCATCAACGCGTTTCACGAACTAGATCAATCGACAAGACGACAGATCAGTCAACGTGGTTTGCAGTTAGCTCTATTACAACGGCGCCTTGACACCGACCCCCACGTCATGTTTGGGTAAAAACTCTTGGATCGACTGGAGGGTGCAGGAAATGACCAAAACATCGAGGCTCAAATGAATTGGCAGCATACCAAGCAGCTCGATCGCACTAGGTCTTATCATACCTGATAGATACACTAGGGGCTGCGGACTTTCGATTGGCCTTTCGACAAGCCACAACGACCTGGAACGCATGGTATACGTAGTAACTTCAGCTCAAAACTGCTCGGTATTTTAATGGACTTGACATTGAATTGTGAGAAACATAATAATATAACATTGCTTCAAATAGTTCATCATAATTTATGATCAACTTTGTTGCTAACTTTAGAAAGTACATGACTTTGACATCGAATATCTCTCTGACGGCTTGCCTACGAGCAGTGTAATGAATGTAGATATTGCAAACTTAGTTGCAGGCTATCGTTTAAAGCTAGAAATATGCCGATTGCAACTTTGTAGCGTGAGTGATGAGTCCTCAAAGTAGCAAAGCAACGCAAATATAACCTACTTTGTAAGTAAATATCTCGATGAATATATCTCCTAGCGACCTCTATGATACGTCATTATGTAGCGAAAATATTTGTGAACACGCGAATGGAGTCTCGGGCTGGTCGGTTTAGATTGGCTCATGTTGTGTGGCTTTGAAAGTGGCTGTCTCAAGTATAACATCCAAGTTGATCAACTTTGTTACTTATCTTTGCTTCCAAATATAACATCACATAACATCGTTTTGATGTGTTGCTTTTAAAAATTCTATTCACGTCATGATAAAAATATTGAAACGGTTTCTTGTGTTGACGACCAAATCACCAAAGAAGATGCGACGACTAAGGTTTCTGTCAACCAGGTGAAGTAAGAACTAAGCCGATCGTGTAGCATTGCGATTATAGGCATCAGCTCCATCGAGTTCGTTCTAATATGACCATTTCCCGCAGTCTCCTGGATGTACAAGTCTGGATTGAAGGTAACATGCGACACATGGTTGTACACTTCAAAGTCGACGGAGGCCACGGGTATACCAAGGGCCTTGGCTGTGGCTGCGGCGTACTCGACATGGCTCGCGGGGACGATGGGATCTGCCGACGAGTACGAGAACAGCTTGGGCACCGCTGCATCGTGTTGGATGAGGCGCTTAAAGTTGACATCAAGCGGATGCCAGCGGCCGACGAGCGAGATGGCGACAAACTCATACACACGCAGGAACGGCCGTCACGATAGCGCGAACGCAATGTCGGACGACGCGTACTCAGGTAGTTTCGTGGGAGTTGAGTCCAGAACCATCGCTGGAACCGTATAGGCCACCCTGTGCTTAGTCACGTGGTGCTGGAAGCATACCCACGACCGAGCGCCGTCGTTGGACAAGATGTGCGGCACGATCGCCATGCTCGTGTCTGTCGATAGCCACGCGGTGAACTTGGCAAAGCTGGCCTCGTGCACCAAGTCGGGCGAGTAGAAGAAGTAGTCCGAGGGTTGGGCCAGAAGGGTGAACGTGTCGAGTCCTATGGCGCGGTAGATGGCCGTGTACTTGTCCACGTTGCGAGTCTTTGCCGCCATCCACCTGTAGAGCACCACCACCCTCTTGGACATGATGGGTGCAACTGTGGTGCATATATTTGCCGTGTTTTGTCAGCAGTCCTAAGATTTGACCCAAATTCGTTCTGGAAATTGGTGAACGTTTGAAAAATGTGGAAATTGTGTACCTCCCCTAGTAAATGATACGATGATTACGATTGGCCAAAGCGTAGTAGTTACTTCGTCATAAATATGGTCATTGGGATTGGTCGTACGTAGTACAGTGCTCATCAAAATATCCCAATCAACAAGAAGCCCAGTGATGTCCAGTGATGTACTTACTACTAGTACTCGTAGTTAGTACCTTCGGTGTTGTGTGGCGAATGCGTCGAATAACAAATGGCATTGGGATAGCGTTGGCCTCCTTTCCATTCAACATAACGAATTCGACTTCGAAGTGAAGAGATCGATTTTAGTAAAGCCATTGGTGTCCTGGATAGCAGGGGCCTGAGTGGTGACCTTCGATGACAGCAATGACCCGTGTACTAAAGCAACACCATTTCACCTTAACGCCACCAGGGTACACCAATATACATACTATATACATACTAGTACTCGCATTCGACTGCTCCAACTGCTAGGTGGTAGTACACCCCCTGTAGGACTACGTAGTAACAATACATAGGCACAAGGTAGTCCACACAAGAGATACTGTTTCCCACTATGGGCTTCCCAACGCTCCCACCCCTCATCCGAACGTGGGACTAGTACAGTATTGCTTGCTCCCTGCTTCGGTCACGCCGTGGCTGTCTATGATGCGGCCGCCTCCAGTTACGGACAGGTGCATGGGGAGCGATCATTATTATTGTAGGCACATGTGCTGTCGGAAGGAGGGTGCTGGTCAGGGAAGTGCTATCCGCACACCCTTTGGCGAAATCAACTGTGAACGATACGGGGGGCAAGCAAGGTGCCATGAAACCGCCAGGCGAGTGCGCGTCCAACACCGAAGGCTTAACATGTTAATAGCAGCGATTAAAAAACCCTCTGCAGCGCAAGGTGATGATCAGAATCGTGCAGAGCGAGCTGGTGTTGGGACCCTGCAACTCTGTGACGTGAAGATAATCGCTTCGTCGAAGAGCCCTTTGTCTTCTATTAATAGAACTACCGTACTTTGAAGTAGAATAATATGTGAATTGCTGCCCAATTGATTGGCTACTGTATCCACCAATCAGGGACAGACTGGTCAGATTAACCATAATTAGTGTTCATAATAGTTTCGATTCACGTTGTAATCCATGTGATTGGCTCGTGCTTGGGTGACCCGAGAACCGCTCAACCCATCATGCCGATCAACGTGCCGCCGCCCTTGACGGCGAAGTCCCTTCCGACAGACAACTGGCCGACGTCCACGACGCGCCAGCAGCAGGAGACTGAATCCTTATGCACGTCTTTCTTCGTTCCGCTGGAATCGTTGCCTCCGCACGAGCTCCATCAGCTGCAGTCGGCCGGGTTTCTGAACGACCGGTTTGAGGTGCGCTTGCTGCGAGAGAAACATGTGCCGTATCTGGTGCGCGGCCTCGAGTACTTGCCTTCAGGTTTCGCTTCCATGGACGCATCTCGTCCTTGGTTCATG